AACCTTTACAAATCATAGCTTCCTCCCCTACCCCCGCACAGATGTGCATATTGACTAAATAACTGAAAAGGAGGGCCATATACAACCTAGAAACCCCCTGAATAGACTCCTTAGGGACAATCTAAGGTAAGTTTAATTATTTCGGAGAAGAAATTACAGTAAATAAGTAAGCTTAAGCTTAAAATTTAAAATCAAAACAAAAGAAAATGAGTCCATTTATAAAAAATCTCCTAATTTCAAGCCAGTTTTTTAGGATCTTAATAAAAAATTATCCAAACTCACTCGTATTTTCTCTKTCACTGTTCGAATGGAAGGAATTCCCTTTAAGTTTCCTCACTTCTGGACAAACTTCACTTGGATGTTCRAAAGCCACGTCTTCTGAACTCGAGCTCTGAAGATCCGACAAAATCTCCTCAAAACTCGGAGGCTTTGGAGCTTGCGAGGTCGGAGAACTTTTAGACATCAATACCAACTCTTGTAATACCATTCGGGTTGATTATGTGAAGATTAAGGTAATAAATAATGGAATTGTTTTACGAGGAGAAAATCTTTTCATGGTTCTTGAAGGTAGCCATTTTGTTTTTGTGGTGGAATCCGCTGTGCAATTTGTATCGCGGGCGCATATAGTATTTGTGTACAGCGGTTTTAMCCAAAAACATTGGCGGGAACAGAAAAAACAACTTGTTGAATCTATGTCTATCAAAATTTTCTTCAAAATCTAATCATATTTGTGTCTTGGAGAGTTTTGTGTGTTGTTTTTCATTTAGAAATCTTCGTGGTAATGCCGCGTGTGAATCTGGCGAGGCTAAAGACAGGGGCGCTTCCACGTAATAATGCGGCGAGCACTCAGTCACGCTGTCAGGCTAGGATCTCCACATTCTTCAGCACTAAAAGAACAGATGAAGAAGATGATGAAGCGCARAGACAACTTTTATCTCGTAAGGTACGTTATCCAAATCACTGTTTCCAAATATGTAGAAGTGAGATTTCAAGAAGTTTTGACTCAAGAGGTGTCTGTCTACTCGAGGGCCTCTGCTGACACCATTGGCGGTCCTAGGGGATGGGAGGGTGGGGGAGTTTGGAGCATCAGGAAGCTCCTTTTAAATGTGCATTCTCATAATTACTGCAGTATCTTTACCTCCATGTGGAAAAAAAAATCAAAATGTCATAATTTATTTTTTTACTATGAGTTATGATTTATAGGGCTTAATGGTGATTAAGTAAATGACAACAAATATGATTTTATGGTGTACATTTACTGCTATTTTCAATATTACATGAAATAACTCAATAATTGCAAGTTGCACATCCTAATTTGTTTTTTTGCTGTCACCAGTTTAGAATGATTATAATTTTTTAATTGACAGAAGCGAAAACCAAATTTCAGCATGAAGCTTGCAACCACTGAGTCCTACTTCAAGATTTTTTATTTTTCTTTTCAGCGAATTTCAAATGAATCTACAAGTCCTCAAGATAACAAAAGGCAAAAACTTTCATCTGCAATAGTAATAGAAAATAATAACGATGCCCCAAACAACAACACTTTATCTTCTACCACACTGACTAAACTGAAAAACTTTGAAAAAGGATCAAAATACTTTGCTGGAAAAGATGAAGAACTTCAAGAATCCAAAATGCACCATGTTTCTTTGGAAGAAMAGAAMATTGAAAAAGAAGCTGATTGCATAATTATTGATGATGAAATGAAATCACCTGAATTTAATATTAGTAATTTTTTAAGAGAAGAAGGTCCACTGTCAAAAGCAATGTCRCCAAGTGCTTCTGAGAAGCCAGCAAAACCTGTGAATCAAAAAACTAAGAGCCCATATACTCCTTTAGAACTACAGTTTATGGACATCAAATCAAGATACAAGGATGCTATTCTTTTTGTGGAGTGTGGATATAAGTACAAGTTCTTTGGTGAAGATGCTGAGGTTAGCCTTCCT